CAAGTCCTAGTCCCGGCGCTGTGAGTTGTTGACACATCATTGTTTACCGAAATGATCACTTCTTTGACTGGCACGCTATTTTAAAATCATTCTCTATTTCTACCATTCAGTACAATGGAACTATGGGCCGCGTTCCTATCATGCCGAGCATAAGCTTTTGCGAAGGTCATTACCTTTCTTTTACTATGCACATTATGTTGCGTCTAAATTAGACAGTACATTGCTACAGGTTTGGAAAATGAGCAGTTCGACATGGCGCTTGTGCATACTCCACGTCAGGCGGTAAACAGAGACACAGTAGTATTTCGTCCACAGAATTATGTTGAAAAAGCAGCCCTTAATAGGGGTTGGCTAGATTCAAGCAGGTTAATGATTTTTTTTATTTCAAAACAGCCGTCGTTTTCCCAGCATAATGCTTAGTAACAGGAAACTCGGGTAACTAAGCTAGTAATGAACAATAATATTTTCTAGATCGTTGATGGAACAAGGCGTTTTTGAGGGAGATGTCGTTTTGCTTCGTTTCAAATATATGACATTCTTCGATCTGAATCCGAAAGTACGTAATGTGTTTTGATAATTGTGGGGTGGTGTGCTACCCCTCTTAGTTCATACGTTCGAATGTGTTTAGTATGATCCTGTTCGCATCAATCAACTATATGAGCAAGCAAAATGGTCAATCCTGTTAGATGAATTTGATCACACAGAAGAAGAAGCATCCTTATTTGCCGCATTGCAGGTGAAATACTGTTGATGGCTTTAATGAATGGAAAACATAGTCAAAATCTGACTTTCCTCTCTTCAATAGGCTTATCTGGAGTACTCTGAGGAAGCAAAATGCAGTTATATTGTTTCAGTGGCAATATCGAAATGATTTGTTACAGATTTATGCTTGTTTTAGTTGCAAGCCACGCTTCAGCGTGACTCTCCAGAACCGGAGGGTCCGACAAAAGATGATGTAGACATGATGCTGGATGAATTGGTTTGTTCAATTTACTGTTATTCTAAAGTTCTGCCTTTAGCTGTACTTCATCTCTTTTCAGGAACAAAATTTGGATGCCGCCGCTCTTGGACGTCGTTCTGATTTAATGCAAGTACCAGAACTTGCCGACTACCTTAGATATATGAAGTAAATTTCCTCTAACCTTTTGTTCTACGCCCTTACTGTAATCTAATGTTAAGGCCTAAGAAATTAGCCGCATTCAAAGGATTCAAGCGAGCCTTTTTTTCGTTCCGTGATTTATATCTCAGCTACTATCAGAGTTCATCGGACATTAATCAACCACCCCTGGGTCACTTCTCACTCAAAGGTATCCTTTCGCACTCGTATTCATGTATAAATTCTCATTGTATTCATTGGGAAATGACATTCAGGTTGCGAAGTTAGTCCAGACGTGTCGGTTTCCCAAGGTAAATACCAGATTAAGCTACTGGTGCCTACTGCAGAAGGAATGACTGATTTTGTACTCAAATGTGACACGGTACGCTTCCATTGGCAACATGTTCTTTTCATTCTTTTTGTAGTAACTCGAAATATCAGTTTTTCAACGGTTTTTTCACTACGTAACGTAGGCGTTGCACTTTCTTACTTGGGTTTTGCAGGAGCATCAGTATGCTCGATGGATGGCAGCATGTCGTTTAGCATCTCGTGGAAAGTCAATGGCTGATTCTTCTTATCCACAAGAGGTTGAAAACATCAAAAATCTTCTGCACATGCAGAACACCAGTAAGTTTGTATCCCTTCCTTGAAAGATGTAAGTTGAGGAAACTTCAAACGCGAAATCAGCTCAGTCTCTTACCTCATGTGCTTTGCTGTAGTGTTCCTCTTTTGAGCAAATGGACGAAACGAAAATACTGCTACGCGTCGTGCTGCTCCAGTCAAACTTCCAAACGATTTTAATGTAGATGAATATGTTTCGCAAAGATACGTACGAAAAGCAAGAAGCAAACAAGCGGTTGGTTATTCTTTGTACATTAGTATGTCTGTTGAGTCCAGCATTAGGTTTATAATTTATCGAATCTCAGCTACAACAACGCGTTGCTGATGCACATGCTAATGTGCGACAATTAACTTCAAC